CACTGATGTGAATGTATGAGCCAAGTCCTCTGGAGCTGCTCTTGAGACCTGGATTTTCATGGACATCACAGTAACCATTGGGATTAACCTTGTGAAGAGTTCGCATAGGGCCGTCTATGGGACAGCAACAGGAAGGCTGTGGGATTTACTTTTTGGGTCAATTAGTTTTGCTTTCTGGTGCTTGTGGATTGCCCAGATGCTGTAGCAGCTGATTTTCTAGTGTCACAGGAGTTACTGAAAAAATTGTGGTTGTTTGCTTGTATTTTTTACTTTGTAAACCTCAGATGACTTTTGTACAGTAACTCTGTTTTCACTTTTCCTGTCCTACCAAATTTTATGTTTACCATATTTTACATTATCCTTCTGGTTATATGGATTTGAGCAACTTAATTTAAATTGACTGTATGACAAAACTTTAATATTTCTGGTTTATGTGTTTGGATATCAGGATTATCTTCTGAAAGGCCCTGCAGTTTATAGAGTATACCTAGGGTTGATAAAAAAACTCTTGTGCAGGAAAGAGCAGCCGAGGGAGGTTGGTTGCTCCATGTCTGTTATCCCTACTGATAAACCCTCTCAATTTATTAGAACAAGACTGACAACAGGGCCATGTTAAGCTGCATAACCATGCCCAGGCAGGCAGTACTTGGCATCAGGCAGGCAGTACCACGTTCAGCACATGTTATTATTGGCAGTGGTCACTATGGCAGGTGACCAGCTGACACAGTTGCTGCCCACGTGGTGGGTAATGGGTCACTGTATAGAAGGGCTTGTTTTAAAATGCTTGCAATACGTGAACTCTTCAGTAGGTGACCTTGCACGTTTTCAGAGAGCAGTTTCAGTAATGATCTAGCTCGTGTCAGGGCTTCCAAGATGCATATGAGCCTACTTCTGCCTTTAAATAAAAATCTCACAGAAATTTCATTAAAACAATTAAGGTTGTAATTCAAATACTGACTTGTTGATCAGGAAGTTTTTGGGGTACCTTCTGCCTTCCTCCCATCCAACATGGGTCATCAGCACCAGACCAAAACCTTGCCTCCTTATGAAAAACACTGAGAGATTCAGCTGTGTATGGGCTCCATGCAGACTGGAAATCCTGTGACTTGTAGCTTTTGCAAGAAGTGGGGATTGTGTTTTTTTTTTTTTTTGATGTACATAAGCACTTAATTCAGCATTCTCTTCTGTTGGGAAATCTCTTCATGCCATTTAAAGATCTGATTCAAGCAGAGATTTTAAAATTTGGCATTGTGTCACAAAATGGTACCAAAAGAGACAAAGCATGTGTACTCCTGTTGTTGAGAGCCTACTTTGACGTACTTTGCTCTAGTTAATAAATTGCATTACAAATTGCATCTTTTGTTAAACATAATTTCCATTAGATCTTGAACTTAGGAGTATTTTTTCAATGAAGAAAATAAATTTTATTTTGTTTTGTGGTGTTTCCCTTAAATGAAAAGTTTGAAAGACGTTTTTTTCCCCACTTGCCAGATTAATTGTGCATTATAGCATTGGTCCTCTGGCTTTTTAGGCCACTTCTTCATTTGAATCCCTTTCTGGCATGTTCATCACAGCACTAGTAAGCTGTGGTAGGGACAGCAGGGCACTTTTGAAGGGAGACCCTTTTTGAAAGGAGACCCTTTCTCAGTTAACTGCACTTCACTTTTGTTAGGCTGAATTTTCTGTTTTGTTTTATATTTCTTAAGCTTGTTCTTTTTGTTGTTGTTCTTTGCATTGGCCCATCCTATCTCAACCTCTAATTTTCATTTCCAGAATAGCATTGAGATTTCTTACTTTGCATGCTGTCTCTTTAAGGTTTTATTTAGAGTTTTCCATGCATTCAGCATGTTTGTTATCTTGAACCCTTTATATCTAGAAAGGAAAACGTTTTTGCTGAATTCTCATTTAGGCTTGTCTTAAATCTTATTCTAGTTTCCTGCATATTTCACTTGACCTTCCAGAAATACTGGGAGGGTCCTTGAGGATGGATGTTCCTGCACTCTGCCAACAGGGTCCTCTTGAAGTTCAGGAGCCAACTTGGTCATCTTCCTGTTCTTTGTGCTGACCCTGCAGAGTGGCTCTGGGTTCCTATTTCCTGAAGATTTGAAGTGCTGTAATATTTCATAACGTGGTCTTCTAGTTAGTAATGATAAAGTTCAAGGTAGTTTTTCCACGTCCTTATCCTAATAAAGGCGTGATTCAAGATGAAATAAAACAAAGCAGGACTTTCAGAGCTTGAGCAGCAGGGCTGCAAAAAGCCTGTTTTAAGGAGATGTGGTCTGTACATGTGACCCTGCAGCCCTCTCTCATGAGTTCGATCTTCTTAGATGATTTTGATCAAGTTTTACAGTGGGTTTAAGAAATCCGAGGGGTGCATGGTTCTGGCAAAAATTAAAAATAAAGGAAAAGTAGCTATCCAGTTTTAAAGAAGAGCATCTCCTCGTTTCTTATTTGGGTGGCAGCTATTGTTAGAAGTTGACGTGTTTTCTAGCTAAGTGATGCAGAGTCCTATCTCTGAATCAGCTCACAGAACAATTTCCTCACCCAAACAAGAAGGCAGTGTGTGGCAGAGATGAAAGTGTTAGAACAACGAGACTGAAGAAGAGAAAATAGTGAGTTTGAGTGGGAAGGATGAATCTGCAGAGACCATCTTCTGTAGTGCTACCCCATGGAACTCGTTTGTCATGTTGTTTTTCTTGGTGTTTGTCCATAAATTCTTTACATTAATAAACATGCTGAGTGATGTACAGGGTGCTCTGCCTACCCTACTAACGTGTGCATCCCTCATCAAAGGATAGACATCACAATATCCTCCTAGAAGTGATATTTTGCTTCCTTTCCATGTTCATGAGATGCACTCACAGGATATGTGTCATCCCCTTTTCGTTTCCTAATTCTCTCACTGAGTCTGTTTTTCTGTATCCAGGATGATATGTAGCCTCTGTTAAGTTGCTTACTTTTGTAGGATTTGCTCTCCTTATATTCCTTTTATTTCCAAATCCTTTAGCTTGTGGTGTTTTTGTTCTACAGCATGGCCTTTGAGTTTTCCTTTATGGTTCTTCTGACTAGGAACTGCAGTTTGTAACTTTTGAGATGTAATTATCTCTAATTCCACTGACAGTTTGTGTAGTTAGTCCTGGGAGTACTAACACAGTTTTCAGCCCCAAAAGTTTTGCTATCAGGTGATGCTCTTCACATTTGTTCTCTCTATTCGATGTTCTGTCTGGACCACATGCTCCTACAGGTGGCTGCTTTCTCCATCTTGGCAGGATCTCTCTGCCCTATACAAATCCTTGTCCTGTCATCTTCATGGTTCTTCACTGCAAAATAAGTCTCTGATCTCTCCATGTCTGTCTTTTTCCCTCAGCCAGGGATTATACCTAGGATGCTCTGAACCTGTTGGTTTTCATCAGGTTTCTGATGGTTTGCTCACATACCCTGTTGATGTCTGTGCTGCCTCCCAGCTCCTGTCAGAAATTTCTTTCCCGGATCTCCTTTCTTCTTCAGCCTTTCTTCCGTATGCTTTGTGCTGGTACAAGTGATACCTGTAACGGTGTGATGGCCTGTGCCAGCATTTGTTATGTGTAGGATACTATTTTAATGAAGAAATGTCTTCAGGCTGTACTCCTCTGTCAGCTGTTAGGATATCCAAGTACAGAGCTCGGTGTTTAGCCTGATCTGCCTTCAGCCTCTTGCTTCTTCAGCCTCTCTCTCTTGGCTCAGCAGGACAGACAGCATCACTCTTTGTCTGGATGGCCTCCTACAATGTCACTTGTTCAGCCTTCCATTGCCAGGAACATACACAAGGTTTTATGGTGGAAAACCTCGGAGGGGTTTGCTCCTCCTGTGCAGAGGTGGCCCCTCAGGCACAGCATGACCCCCAGCCCGCAGCAGCATTCCCGCAGTGCTCGCTGGTGCTTGGCTGACAGTTATGGCTCTGCTTCTGTTGGCTTCATAAATATTATTTTAAAGGATTTTGGAAGGGTTTGGGCTTTTTTCTAATGTTCCACACTAGTATTTCCACAAAGCGTTTGCATTAATTCCATGCTATGACTTTTTAACATTGAAATGGTGCCATTAGCAGGGACAAGTATTGCCTGAGGAGCATTGGCTTTGTGAATGTGGGCATATGCCTGTAAGGATAAGGTGCCAAGGCGTAAATTTGCAGGAAATGGGATGCTGGATTCAGAATCAATTGTTTTGTAGTCTTTATTGATGTTATTAGTATTCATAAAAGTTTAACTATATTGAGGATGTGTACATCTTCTTGCATATTTGGAATAGTTTTACAGAAGACATATAGAAGTGTTTTCCAACCAGTATTTAAATTCTTTTTTAGAGCTTTTACTGTTTGTTAAGAACTGGCTTCAGAAACTAGTCCCAAAAGTCAATTAAGAAATCTGTTGGCTTGTTCATTTCTAAATATCTGCTGCTCACAGAACTTAGAATGCTACTTGCATTAGGAGTAATGACTGTTTCCTGACTGGAGAGTTGAATGAAACATTTAAGTGGATTTCAGATCAAGCATATGAACACTTGCAGCCTATTAGAGCATTAATTTTAATTTGCTGTTTTATGCAGTCAAACATTTCTTCCCAGAGCAATTTGAGTGTAAGTGGGTTTTACTGTAAGAGGTGGTTTATTGTTTGGTTGGTTTTATATTTTTGGGAATGGTTATTGCTTGGTTTATTTTTCTCTTGATAAAGTCTAGCAGTAGTCCAGTGTGAAACAAGATTACATTTGCCCTTAAACAGGAAAAGCCCTTACAGTCTTCAGTGCACTGTCAGTATGTTCTAGTTTCTTATGACTGATGTAGGTATTTGGGGCTTCAATCTGTGTCAGAAAAGCTTTAGAGGAAGTGTCCCTGCCAGGCTGTTATATTTTGGAAGTCTGCACACTGATAAGCTGGGATATGAATGGATATGAAAGCTCCATTCTCAGTCAGGAGTTTTTTGAATGTGTGCTCTGAATTAATACTGTTTTCGTTTCCCCTCTTTCAGGTATTCACTTATAAACAGAGCACGATCACACACCAAAAAGTAACACCTATGCATCAAACCAGCACAGAGAGCGTGGAAGACATGGCAGCACTTGTAGATCTCCATGAAGGCTCCATTATGCACAACTTATTCCAGCGATATCAGCAAGATAAAATCTATGTAAGTTTTTTCTAAAATTAAGAAAAATACCCAGAGGGAATGTTTTTTAATTTGTAAGTGCTGTTTGTGTTTTGCTGTTCTGTGCTATCTCCTAATGCTTTCCACACAGAGCTGAAGCATGCCTCATATGGTGACATCTCACCCACAGTGATGGTAGGAGAAGGTGGCTCAGGCTGGGCACACAGTTCCTTGGAAATCTTCAAAAACTGGCATGCTACATACACTTCTACACTTTCAGTGACAGGATTATGTAAGGGACTCTCGTTTTCCTCTTCTCTTTTAGACTCTCTGCCCCAACAACTTGTGCTGTGTATGTCACCAGAGAGGATGGGGTGGAACTTAGTCTGTCACTGCCATTAGAGATCCTGTTAGGCCAAGATCCAATTCTGATCAGCTTCACCTCTTGTTCTGCAGTAGAAAGGTTGTTATGAAAGAAGGATACCATTGCCAAGCTGAGCATTTCTGCTGTTAAATAAAGGTAGTTTGAGTTTGGGGTCTATGAGAACAGACAGCTGTTTATCAGTTTCCAAAACTGGGAATTATTCCACACAGAATTCCTTTTCTTAACTATGTAATGAAGATTTTTATAATTAGATTTACCTGGTCCTTCAATATTTTCATTGATCTTGAACTAACTAGATACAAATCTTTCCTGAGTCTGGAACTGCACTAAATATGAGAAAGATACAAGGAATATTAGCAGCTGCTGCAGGTTGCAAAATTGCACTTTTCAGTGGTTCAGTGGTTGGCCATTTTGGTTTGGGCTTTTTAACTAATAATTGCAGAACACAATTTTTGTTTCATCACATGTCTGGGCCCTCGATTTGACCATATACATGCTTTATTTCAAGCTTCATCTGCTGAGTTTGGCTTCTTATTTTTAAGTAATAACATACCTAAGTGAAGAAATAAACTTTCCCTGCATATAAGATTTGATAAAAAGCAATAAAGGGCACAATGAAATAATATTCTTTTGCACATTACCCTAAAAGTGACTAGCATGGGGAATCCTCAATACTGAGGCAATTCTCTTTACATAAGTCTTTATGTATTTTTTTTTCTCAAGACAAATGAACTGTTTTACCTTTAAGAAAAATCAGCAGATAAAAAATGAGTAGCATAAATGAACAATCCTGCATGTGTGAGGAAAAAGCATGTACTTGATAAAAGTTTAGTTTTCCATCAGTATTGTTAGAATAGCATATGGTACTCAGTGTGAATCAAAATGATAAAAAAAAATTTCATGATGTGCACTCACACAGAGGATATGCCCCCTTTTAAAAAACCATGAGGGTATGAGTGTGATTTTTTTGATGAGGCATAGAACAGCTTTGTTCTGAAGAGACATGTCCTGGCTTCTTTCTTAGCTTGTCAAGGCAAGTTTTGGGTGTTCTGATCCTTGGTGCGTTTAGTGCGGTGTACGTTTCTAGACAAACAGGTTTGTGTGCTCTTAATGATGACAGATCTGCAGTTGCTACTGACTGTGCATTGTCCCTTCGGTGCTTCCAATTTAACTGCTTACTCTTTTGAATCTCCCTGAAAAATTTTTGAAAAGGTGGTTGGAAAAAAACCTTGTGTTTTGAAATGCATATGAAAGCCCCTCTGCTGCCCTGTATGTGTAACCAGGACCTGACTATAGAAGAATCTTCTTTTCTCCAACCTCATTGGTACCCCAGTCCTACTGCAGCAATAGGAGTATTTTCGCTGGAAAAGGCTTCAGGAACAAAAACATCCCAAAAAGCTGATTGAGTGTCTTAAGTAATTTCATGAAAGTTCATAAATATAGGAGCATGTGTTTTAGAACGGGGTGTTGTCATTGCAAAAATAAGTCTGTCATTTTAAGCCAAAATTTCTTCACTATATTGAGCAATTCAATTGTATTTTAATGTTTAATGTTTAAAAAAAAATAAAAGACTAGAGATGCATTACACTTACCTTTGTTGAAGGTTACTTTGCAGCAGATCATTCAAATTTGCTTGATCATTCTGTTTTGGGACCAAACTAGTTTTAGTACAGGACTGTAAAAGACATTGGAATTTATGCCAGGAGCAATAAAAACTTTCCAGATTGTACATTTACCTTCTCCTTTGACCAGGAACTGCTTCATCATTGTAGTTCACACATTGTCTCTTGCATCTGCCTCATCACCTTGGCTGTATCTACCCATAGTGCATTAGGGATAAATTGGGAAGGTGTGTACCACTCTCCACTCTGTGCTTAGGGGCTGATCATCCCATTGAAAGATTTCTTGCTCTGCCTGGATAAAAACCAGCAGATAATTGCTGTGTTCTGGATTTTAGCTTACAGATCCCTTTTTACCTTGGTTCTGTGCACTTCGTTGTCCACATCCTGAGTAGGGGGAAGAGGTAGGCAAAGGTGTAAGCTGTCATTTTTTGAGTTCTATGCTTGTAGTATTAGTATTACAAATATATTAGTGTGGTTCTTGAGCATGGCAGCTTTTTGTTAGTTTTCCCAGTGGCACTGAGACCAGGAAGCACCTTTTTACGTTAACAAAAAATACACTTAGTTGGGATTTAAGATTTGGGGCTTGCTTGTTTACACACACATAAAAATCAAATCAAGTGCAGTATACTTAATTGTAATGTAAATTGTAGTGTATATGATTTCAAAAGTACAGAAGAAACAATTAAAGGGAAATTTAAACAGTTACTTTAACCAGAAAGACAATTATTTGTGCAGATCTTCTGCTGTTTACTTGTG